TTTTTTTTTTCCAGAGTGCCCTTGGTAGAATGCTGTGGCATCACAGTTCATAGCAACCTCCAGCTCTTGGGCTTAGGCGATTCTCTTGCCTCAGCCTCCCAAGTAGCTGGGACCACACAAGCTCCTGCCATAACGCCTGGCTATTTTTTTGTTGCAGTCTGGCTGGGACCAGGTTCGAACCAGCCACCCTCAGTATATGGGTCCCTTGCCCTACTCACTGAGCCACAGGCGCCACCCCAAAATTGCTATTGTTAAACATGGGGCAAAGTTGAAAAACTATGATCTTTATTTCTCTAGAAAACCATGTTATGCTTGTTTGAAAATGATTTTAAGTGCTGGAGTTAACTGAATTTCACATTGGCCTGCCAATCCAGAAATAAGGTTACTTCCTGAAGCTTCTAGTTCTGAAGATAGAAAGGTAGGTGCCAAAGCAGTGGAAAGATTGAAGTCTAACAGTCAAGCCCACGTCTGTGTCTTAATACAGTTTCTGCTGCATTACATGGTACAGTTTGTAGAAAAGACCTCTTACAAATAACTTTATTCTTAAAAAATTACAAAAATATTGCTGGGTGCTAACATTGACATTTTTTTCTGAATGTAAACAAGAAAAAAGTAGAAGAATATAAGATTTTTTTTTTTGGTTTCAGAAGAAGAAATGCACAAGCACATGCTGATGACTATAGATTTGGAGAATCTGTGTGAAAATCCAAGGCAATCTAAGGCAAAAACAGGAAAGACCTTGTCCTACTTTTGGCCACAGTAGCTTCCAGTGTGCTCATCTTTAAACACGTGGATCTTATTGTAGCAATCCAGAACAGATTAAGGAAATTCACAAAGTTTGCCACAAGAACCTGCGTGGTTAAGGCATATTGATCTGAGGACCATTAAACAGTTCCATTTAGGCAGAAGGGAAATGTAGAAGTTGTGATGGAACAGATGCTCTGTACTTCAGAGGACGTGGTTATAATGCTTTTCCTGTTGGATCTGAGTATGCTGACTTCCCACACATGGCAAGCAGAATGACAGAGAAAGGAAATTCAGGTACATTATACATGCGGAACAAATGTCTTGATATTTAGGTGTCAAGAAATAAAACCAGAGGAATGAAGCATGATTTTTGTGACAAAGTGCCCATGTGATGAAACCATACGTTTAATTAAAGGCAGTCATGAATCAAATCTATGCAGGGGATGTAGATGCTGGAAAAAAGAAAGCGGACATCTACATGAGGCTCAGGGAACTTGAGGGTGTGAGTAAATGTACATGGCAGCTGAATTTATCAGGAGCTTAGGGTCTTGAAGAAAATGAGCTTGGAAGGAGGGAAATAACCTAGGTGTTTGAAGTGAAGTTTTTCTGACATGAAGGAATGCTAGATGAGTGTTGAATGCTATCCTCTAAATCAGCGGTTCTCAACCTGTGGGTCGTGACCCACGGGAACGGTATTAAAGGACCGCGGCATTAGGAAGGTTGAGAACCACTGCTCTAAATGACGAACAACACCAAAACAAAAATTTGCTGTGTTGGAAATCACTGAGAAAGTCCTCAAGAATTTTTTATCGCATTGTTAACTCAGAAAATAAAGCTGGATTTTGTCAATAATTAAAAAGTTATTTTAAGGATGCTAATTCTAAGACGTGAATGATGTTAATGAGAATAAATTTTAGATTTATGTGTGTGTGTTTCAGAAAAAAGTTGGTATTATGACACACCATATGATTTTTATGAACGTAGGAACACAGGGTCGGTCTAGATCAGCAATTCTCACCCTGTGGGTCGCAACCCACAGGAACTGTATTTAAGGGCTGCCCCATTAGGAAGATTGAGAACCACTGGTCTAGATGGAGCTAGGCTTTTCACAATGGTAGGAATTCATTCTCACTTCCTAGAATATACCTCTATGACGTTAGATTCAGCCCATTCTACTCCATCATCTGTGAAAGAGATGTCTAAAATGTGGACGCAGTAGGAGAAAGAATATATGAATGCCTGCTATGTGCTAGACCTTATAGGTAATATGTGTTATTTAATCTTTAAAATCATACTTCAGAGAGAGCAAGAGAGTGTATATTCTACCATAAATGTTTATGATTTGTGTTAAGTGAGATATAGTAAGACAATGCCTACTAATCATTAGTGGGGAAATGACTTTG